AAATTGGTTTGAGCAAATTATCATGGTAAGTTCTGACATCCTTGGGTGACATACTGGCTAGATATGGAGCACCCACTTTTGCAAGGACAGCCATTCTGCAGATCTCCACCCTCCTTCATTTTACATGCATGTGATTACTCATACACAAAAAAGCTGCCAACAGACTGTGCAAACTGAGCAGGTACTAATGCTTCAGAGGCATTAGGCAAAGTCCAAAAAAGTCTCCTGCAGTCTTCTCTGTGTCTTATACACAATGTACTACTTCAGAACAGCTATGTTCTGTGCATACTTATTAGTTTAAGCAGTCACACTTCAAACCAAGACGCATTTACTTTCCCTGTTTAGGACTAAATTAGGTTGGGTAAGACCTTTAAGATCACTGAATCCTACCATGGACTAACATTGCCAAGTCCACCACTAAATCATATCCCTTATTTAACTAAGCAAACCTGTGCTTTTGGAGCAATTTTCCTTTAGGCAATAAAGAAACAAATACAAGAGTACTTGGTCAAATAAACATCTCTCTTCAAAATAAAGCACAACTCGTTCCTTTTGAATAGTGGGTTTTTTTCCACTACACTTTGCTGTCAATTCAGAATTCAGCCATTTAAAAACTTATTAATACCAACACATGTATGAGTCCAATAGGGGTAAAGTGCTCTGAAAAACCAGAAATCTGTTACTAATTTTTGTTTACATAATACCATGAACGTAAGTATTTAAAAATTAATTAACGCACTTATCAAATAAGAACCTCCAAATTTGTGAAAACGTGTTACTCTTTCTTGAAATCACAAGCCACATGTTTCTAGTACTGGACAAAGCTGGCAAAACACAGGATATAGGTGACTACTAACATAAATTTGTTACCTGCAGTTTATCCTCATGGTTTGTGTGAGTATTAGACAGGTGCCTGAACTCCTGGGTCAGACGGAAGCAGTGCTTCACGTGTTCTGGAGATACAAAATCTTCTGCCACTTTAATGCAGCTGTACAAATTATGGACCTAAAAACCCACACCAAATGACTGATTCATGAAGACTGAATGAAGCACACAGGACCAAAAAGCACCAACACTCCTCCCACTCCCTATATGTTTAGGTTCCTCCACATTTACTTATCAGAAACCAAGAACCAACAAAATTTTGTCTAATAGTAAAACCAGGACAAAATACACAATATCTAACAGGTTCCTTGTTCCTCAACATATGTTAGTGTTCCTAAGGCAAGTTCTCTTACTTTTCTCCAGACTTTTATTGAATTCTGTTCCCTTGAGTGTAGTTTCACTACACAGAAATGTTTTCTCACCATTCATCCTGGCTTTTTTTTTTTCTTAATTTCATCAGAGCAATATACACATCATTCAGATATTTATATAATTTTACTAACAGAATTACTAAGATCCAATTCAAATAGTTCCTGCAAGAACTGCCTACATAGAAAAAGGAACCTAAGTGATCAATATTAATTAACAGTTACTTTGAAGTTGCAGTTCTGTTGTGCCTCAAATTCAACTCTATTTGTCAATATGGCTTAGAGTTGGCATACTCACCTGATGGGGAGCACCTGCAGGAATGAACACGGCATCGCCAAGGAACTGCACTATTGCCCAGCCTTGCACACCATACTCATCGTAGAGTCGCTTACGTAAGGTCTGGTCCAAGTACCAACTTTGGTCATGAATGGGGTCGTGATCTGGAGGATTTTCTTGGCCTTGTTCCTCTCCAACCTAGGGCCAAGACATGGGGTGGGGAGAAACCATGACACAGCACCTTGATATTGCTGGCTCACAAAATGGTCTGTACCAAAAAACATAACAAACAAACTATTTCAAGGCAGAGCATTATTTTCATTAAGGTCATTTAGGTCTTAATGAGTGACTTGTGCATTAGTATGAAGATTCCAGAACAGGCTGAAAATCTGGGAACACAGTAACTACTAGTGCCCTCAAAGACAGCGCTGAAATACCTATGCACTCGACAGCAATTTGTGTCACTCAGCTGCTATAAGCAAGCTCGTCAAGGAATTCAGTAAGCTCAAGCCTTCTTCATAAGCAACATACCTTCCGGAGAAGTTCCCGTATCTTCTCAGCATCCTTGGCAGCATAGATGTGCCACAATGCTCCAGGTTTCTCTCTTCCTTCATGGATTCGCTGCTTTGTTACATCGTCAGCGTCTCCCTCATCAATTGTTTTCAGAACCTCTGAAAGGGGAATCCATGTAAAAGCAATATGCTTACAAAGTTTCTCATTTTTGACATACAGAAGAGGAAGGACCATTTTGAGGTACTAAATCAAATCACACTGCAAGTGCTGCATCATACAGTGCCTTTTCTAAGCACATCAAGCTTCATCTTAACAAAATTCAGGGAATGTGTCAATTGACAGTCATGAATTCAACTGAACTACAATTATTCAGGTACAAGGAGAAGAAAGAGTAAGAAGCTGCTTTTTCTCTTCCTTTCTTCAGGAACGTACCTAATTTCTAGCAAAACTGCTGCTTCCACAGCTGGAAACATGAAGCATTACTGCACTTTTAATTACTGCAAACGTAGCAAACTGCCTTGTATACTTGAATTATATATCACAGATATGACAAGTTTAAACGATAAAAGACAAGAGTCCTCTTTCTCACACACACAATTGATTTTTAACATAGAGAAAACAGCTCTCCTTAACTATTACCATCATCATGGGTCCCTTCCCCAATGGGAATCCCAACATACACCATGACGTTAACAGCATCAGATACATCCAAATGCAGGTTTGTGGTACCAACTCGTCTGTCTTCTGCAGTAATTAAACCTTTAATAGAGAGTAAAATAAAATCAAATTCTATGATTAACCTCTCAGAGAAATAACCTGCCTGAAAAATCTTTCAGAATGCTAACTTTACCTAGCAATGAGAGCAGAAACCAAAGTCAAACAACAGCTGAAGTAGTTATTTTCATGTCATGTGTAACATAAGTAAAAAGCATAGTGATAACTAGTCTATTAGTTTTACAGGAAATAGAAGTAGCAAACTCACACTTCAGTTTTCTCTCTTTGAGGGTCATTTCTGCAGTCTGTGCTAGAGAACTTAGCTTTCATAAACACAAAGTCTTCCTTTGCTTGGAGGCATGAGAGAAACCCTGAGTGCTTTAAGTGGCATTGTTATCCTCCTGTCTGCAGCAGGTGTGTAAAGTCTAACAAAGACTGTTAAAAGTATAAGCTTCCAGCAGATTGTTATTTTCTCATATGACCAGTTCAATTCACAGCAGTTGTTGTCCAACTCATCATAACAATTCAGATTACAATTCAGTAAGGAAAAATATCTGCAGACTCTCAAGTACTTATATATTTACATTGAAGGAACTTACACTTCTCAAGTGGCTGTAAGTAATGAAGAAAGATTTCAATCATTTGCTGATTAAGTCTTTCAGCTTCTCATTAACACCTTGTCTCTTCCCCTGACCCTTCAATAGATCAGGGGAAGACACTCTGCTTCTGGGTAACCATCTCTAGCAAGTAATACGGGGGGGGGGAAATTTAAACATTTTTTAGAAGTATCTTTGTAACAGCAAACACTAATGTAAGTGTGACCATGAAACTACCAGTTAATTTTTAGGATCACCATCATATCTATCTCTTTTCTGTTTAAAACATCGGCTTCTGGAGACAGGAACTCAACTCACTGTACAGTACCTATCACAACAGACCAGAAACAGTAACTGATGCAGAGAGTTTGTAACATGAACTTCAAAAAAGCACAACTGAAATACAAAGGTGGAGAAACATAATACATAGGTCCAAAACCTAGGCCTGACAAATTCACAAAAAGTAGGTTAACTGTTGACCTCTGCCTCAAAGCTGTGCTTTGCAAGATGCAGCAGGACAAAAGGAAAGAATGACACTTCTTAGACCACCAGCAAATAATTAATTTAAGTCACACAGTATTCTGGGAAATGCAAATAAAGCATCAATGGCAAGTGTCATGTTCATGTATTCACATTCTTCAGTATAAAACTGGTGAATATTTAAGGGTCCTTTAAACACAAAAGGGAATAAGATTTCTTCACAGTAACTGAAAATCACTATGAATCAAACTTCAGTCACAATTTTAGTATCTTAATGCTTTAAAATGCTAAGCACATGAAAGACCTCACTATTGTGAACTTTTTTCCACCACATACTCTGCAAACAAAGCCATATATTTACAACCACAATACATTTAACACACTAGAAAAGTTACTCTTCTTCACCATAGACAGAAGCACCGGGTTTATATCTAGGTCCAGCCTTTAATTTGCCTGTACAACAGGTAAGAACAAAAAGATACAAAACTATTTTTGAAGACAGACCTAGCTAATTTTTTTTAACTTCCAAGGAAACAGTGTAAGACTTTCTCTCTTTGCACCAAGACCTTTACACCTAAAACAGATCAAACAGTAAATGGTTACAATCTATGCTACAAAAATACCATTGACACTCCCTCCGCAAACTCTGGTACATCGGAAAATAAAGCTTTGACATTTAAGATGAATTCAACACAATGAATCCATTGCTTCCATTGATAGCAACTAGCAACACACAGAGACAAGTCAGCAGTGACTAGTTATCTTCCTTCTTGCTGCACTCTTATTTAAGTACTGCTTGAAGTATGAGAAGTTGTTTGGTGTACAGACTCCTTCACTCAACATGTCTAGCAATACATAAACCATAATTCCCAGCACTGTTAAATACTGAATAAGCTCAATGTGACTAAGCTGCAACCCCCTGTTTAACTTTTATTAGTGATGTTATATTGCTAAAAAAGTTCAAAATAGATCATATCAAGGTTGGAAGAGACCTTTAAGATCATTGTCCAACCATTAGATAACCCCACATCACTTTCTCAGATCTGCAATATCTTGGTTTACAGCTTAAGTCTAACCCACGTTTGGTTACTGAGCTAAAATATTTTTTATATTGTGAAACTGTGAAAAATCTTCCACATCCTTGAGTGAGTTGTTACTGTAGGTGTACCAGTAATTGGAATGCAAAACCTTAAAAAGCACTGCACCTCTGTCTCACCAATATTCAAAGAGAATGACAAAAGCTACATTAGGGTAAGTTTGCTGCCACATACTTGCTTTGCAAGGTGACTGCAACTTTTTCCTTATCAGTATCACTCGACATTTTTCAGCATACACAAAAAGCAACTACTTTAAGTGTTATTTATCTTACTCTCAAGCTGCAAAAGTACATAATTCCAAATCAGTCTGTTATTTAAAAGTACCCTGGAACTTCAACAATCGCTTGCTTTAAACTAAAATTCTCCAAACCCTGCTTTTGGCTGTGACCTCAAAGTCAGTGCATTCAGGAACTGAGATAACTCAAGTTGATATGGTATGCATTAATTGTTCGTATATCCTCCCCACTGCTATATGACAATCTTTACAAAGTTTAACGCTTCTCAGCCCCATGCAGGATATGTGTTCAGATAAAGGTTTCCTCCATTTGTATGCTATTTACCTGCTAATAATTAGTCTTAAGAGGACAAAACTATCCAATTCAGGTAGCTGAACACGGTGACAGGGTTTTTTTGCATGCCATCTGTGGTCCGTGTTATCATACATGGATTAAGAAAATTACAACCCTTGTTGGAAACATGAAACCACGGTACAAAGTGCCCAGAAGCTGCTTAATTTTACTCTTAAATATAACAACTGGTCTCAAATAGATACTAACTTCTTGAACCCTCTACTGGTATTATGCTTATAATATGTATTAATAATTGTTTGCAAACTTATCTCATATATATCTCTCAGATATACAAGGCAGAAAAGGACACATCTGACAGAAAGAAGACTAACATAGGAACAGATTGTAGGACCAAATGAAATAGAAATGACAGTCAAAACTCAGCACTTATCCTTAGCATGCTAATGCCACAGCCTTGCATGTGGCCTGAGTACAATGAGTCACAAAACCCAACATTGGCAGAACTACTCACATACCATAGGCATTGTACATTTTGGGACCCAAGTCAGGACGGACAAAGTAGCTTGGCAGCCTAGAAGCCAAATTCAGTCTGCCATCTCTCTTGGTATATTCAGGAAGAGGAAGATTTTCCATCAAATCCTCAAACCTAGAGAGCAAAGAGAGACAAAAGGCAGGTTTTCCTCCTGTAGAGCCTACAGCAGCCTGGTAGGTGTTGATACTAAAGATTACTTACCTCGTAGGCATCATATCTCTGAAGTCCTCCCCTGGGGGCCAGTCCTTTAACTTCAGTACCATTGGCTGACCATCATCTGACCTGAGCCGTTCTGCAAGAAACAAATTGATTTCTTCATGTAGGATCTTTTTACCACAGCCCACTATCTTGTTTAAGTTATAAGGCTTTTTGTACCTCTTATAATGCACAGCAAAACGGATGCTGTTTTTCCTTTGGGCTTCCAAGCATTATTATAGTGTGACTAGACAACAGTTTAACAATTAGATAAACATGTCATTACCTACAGCAGAACAGATCGTGCACAGCTCTAAGTTTTAGAACAGTTTTGTTCAACTTCAAAACCAAGCCTTTCCAAAGCATTTGTTCTTACTACTTTTACCAAAGTCTAAGGGAGTTTTACTTTCAATTTCAAGAGGAGTGGTGCTTCTATAAAATTAAAGTTATTGGTTCATGCTCTGAAATCGACCTTAACCTCAGTGTAAAGCAAGAGCCCTTGGTACACCGCACGCAAAAGAGCTAAAGGGAAGGTGGTCATAGAGGAAGACAGCCTTTAGTATTTTTAATGCTTCTTTGCTGGAGGCCCTTGAATGAACAGGGTGCAGAAATCAAACATCTGTTCTTCACTTTGCGACTCGTACGTGAGCCTTGGCTGGCACAGAGAAAGCTGGCAGAAGGATGGCATTGCATAGGCAACAGTGGATACATGCTATGACAGCACTGACCATGCCAACTGCTGTTTTGCCTCAGTTCTTACAAGGGCTAAGACAGTCTATCTGGAAGAGGTACATGGAGCAGCTTAGAACTCTGAGTAACATTTAGAGAGAAACAAAGTTCACCAGATTTTTCGCAGCTCTACATGAAGCCATCAGCTGGAAAACGGTGTACAGCAGTCTTCACATCCCCCCTTCCCCAGAAAGTAGCATCCTTCACTGCTTCCTACCTTACCAAGGACTGTCAGCCAAACAAAAATCAAGCGATCTTACCCAGATCTAGCAGAGCTGCTAACAGCTTCAGAAGAGAAAACGTATCTAAGAAACTAGGACTCGAGACCTGTGAATCACATCTGCATTATGTATCAACAGGCTACAGAATACAGCCTTAGTTTGCAATATAAAAAAAATGATTTAATCAAAGCTAAAAGGAATTATGAACTGCAGGTATGTAAACCAAAGTGACTGATTTAAAGATAACAAATTTTGATGAGCTACAGGTTTTAGAGAGGCAAGTGAACTGAAAAGCTCAAGAACTTGAATTTAAAGGTGTTTTGCAAATTGCTATGTTCAAGAATTTGAATTCAACAGGATCTCTGTTTCAACCAAGACGCAGCTTGTAGGAAGGCTATTCAGAAAGGGCAGAGGTAAGAACCACCCAGATGAAAACATATGGATTTACACAAAGCTGGACAAACCCCAGAAAACACCTGATCAGCAAAGAAAAGCAGGACTAAACCAAGAAGTTAGACCTTTCAAAAGTCCACTTTGAACCCAAATGTATTCAAAGAAACTGAACAAGACTAAAATTAATTAGAACAAAGCATCATATAAAATAATCTCAATCACACCTCCAAAGTCAGTGGTGTTCAGTAACCTAAAACGAGGGGGAGCAACCACCCATTTCAGAAATCTAAAAATTCATGTAATGAGAGAAGTCAGAGTCATTATATAATTAGCTAACAGTTTTCATATGAATTAAGTGTGTGAAATCTCTAGACTAGTAGCAAATACTCCTCCTCTAAGGGATTGCACATGTCTGAAAAACACTAAATAAAATGTATTTGAAAGAAACTATCAAGAGTGATAAGGTTTTCCAACCTAAATCCCTAATATTTCTCACATAATGTGTGGTAAAGGCACTGCCTAAAAGAAAGGCAGCAGCTGATTTTGCTGAAGGAAGCCTATCTGTCTAGAGGCAAACCACAAATAACATTTCCCAAAGATAAGCTGACACATACAAATTTACTGTTTTCATGAATGACCCTAGCACAAAAGTGAGGAGTTTGTGAAATTTACTGACTACCATCACTACACAGAATATCTTTCTATGCCATTTATTTCTGATTAATAACAGTACTTAACAGTACAAAATACAATATTCTGTACGTGGAACCATATAAAAACAAGCCAAGTGCCGAGAGATCTTTGATTGGAAAATGACCAGGGAAGGGAATATTCTTGGTCTGCAAATCCATCATTTCATTGACTGTTGCATGAACATTCCATCAAGTCATCCAACAGTCTAACATTTCTGCTATATACACACAGCTATAAACACCAAAACCATTTTACACACAACTCTAAAATCAGCAACATTGCAATGAGCCATTACAACTCGAACATCTCTAACTAAAAGACCACTCTTATCCAGGTATATACAATCTAAAATGGAGCACTCTGCTTTCCAGAAGCTCTTGAAAGTGCCTAGTTAGGGCCCCAAAAATTTTAACAGGTTAGTGCCCCATTCACACTTGACAGTTTTCTCAAAGAAGAACTCAAGCATTATGTGCTGCCATGTGAGGCACACATACAGCATTGCTATTCACAACACATACAAACTTGTATTTGCACCCACAGAAGATCTAGTGTAAAAACAATTTGTAATGTCAAGTTTACTTAGATGATGTATTTCACCAAGTCTGAGTTTTAGCATCAAAAGCCTGTCTGATTTAGGTCTGCCTGTTCCCTTGGTTTTACAACAAAAGTTGAGGTTGGAAGGAGAGGAAGGGTAGACAAATTACTTAATACTTGTAAATGATGATTAATTTCACTGAGAAAAGCTTGCTAAAGAAGCTTCCCATGAAATGGATCATTTTTTGACACATGAAAATAACAAGCACCAACATGCTGTAATACAGACAGTTCTCTTGGGCAGTGCTGCCCTAATCTTCATTGATCAGGCATTTTCTAGGGTGTGCTACAGCTAAGGAGCAGTGCCTTCTTTGGACAAGACAGACATATTTGGATTTTTTTTAATCAATATTTTTTATTTTTTTAAGAAAATAGGTGGAAAAGGAAGAGTTGAAGATAGCAAGACAGACTGCTCAGTTAAACTAGTCAGCCATAAATATTACTTACTAGATATTATCTCAAAGCCATCCCAGAAGTCACGCACTTTCACGTCTGAAATTATGGCACAGTTCCTGCAGTTCACCAAATCTACATCTTGATCTCCAAATTCCAGGCTGAAAGCTTCTGGTTTCCAAAGCTCTGACTTCAACTTCTTATGGACACCAGATACCAGCACGGGCTGAGAATACAAAGATGAATGCTTACTCCACCAGAACCAAATTTCTTACACATGCAGCCAAACTTTCTTAAGAGCTGAGACTCCTGGCTACCACCATACAAAAGCATCATAAATCTGTTTTCATCCATGTCTGGTTTCTGTGCATCAAGCAAATAACCAGAGTCAAAACAAACTTTAGTTCCATGCCATGGGCAGTTGCCTTGGCTTAGACTTGCCAAGGCAAGTGCATTAGGTCTCCATGACAAGGTGTGGGCAGCAGGTGTGGGCTCTGTGGGTGAGGCTGGAGGTGGCCCATCTTGGACACAGATGCTTCTACCTGGCTCCAACAGACCCGTGGGGTGAGATGGGCGCACACACAGAGCAGAGAGAGATTCCCTGGAGGAAGCTGCAGTCCATGGAGAGCCCATGCTGGAGCAGGCTCCGGCAGGAGCTGTGCGGAGAAGCCCACACAGAAGTAAGTTTTCTGGTAAAAACTGCTTGTTGGGGACCCACACTGGAGTAGTCTATCCCTGAAGGACTGCAGCCCATGGAGAGGGCTCATGCTGGAGCAGATCGTGAAGGATAGTGTCCTGTGAGTGGAACTCCACACTGAAACAGGGGGAAAGTGGAGGAGGAAAGAGCAGCAGTGTTACAAACTGACCACAACCCCCATTGTTCTCCAGTCCCCACTGTGTCACTCTGGGGGCAGAGCTGGGGGAGAGGAGGTGGCAGAGTGAGGGAATGAGAGAGCAAAGTTGAGCTTTTAGGAAAAAGGTGAAGGAGAGGGCAGGGAAAGGTGTTTACTGCTTTGCCTTTGTTTTCCACCATCATACCCTATTTTTAATTGGTAATAAAGTAGATTACTTTTTCACAAGTTGAATCTGTTTTGCCCATGACAGCAACCACTAAGGGATCTCCCTGTCTTTATCTTGACACACGAACTTTTCCACCTTATTTTCTCCCCCAGTTCTGTTGGGAAGGGGCAGTGAGGATACAGCTGAGTAAGAGCGTCTGGCAGCCAGATGAAGTTAATCCACTGTACAATCCCACCACCTGTCCTTTTATTTAAGCACAAATGCAGCTACTACTGGAAACAGCATTCATAGTAAAGACTTCCCATGTGAAATTTTCATATTCTGATATGAATTGTTCAACTATTTCACTCACCATTTATGTATAATCATGAATTATCATTAATTCCCTAGGACAAAACCAAGTAACAGAAAGGAGGCTGTTCACTTGCAAAAGGGGTTTTAAGATGTTTAGGCTAACGACGTGTATCTGTTCCACACAGATTTCAAGGCATTTGCTAAACTGACAATACTTGGAAAAGGTATTTGAGACATTCCTCCCAACACTAGCCAAGACCCTGTTGGCTCCTCTCACCCTGCCATCTCTGAAGAGAGTTACCAGACATGAGAGAAAAGGAAAAGGGGGTACAAAGTCAACTTGCACATGGACTACTCTCACCTGAAGAACTCTAGCTTTACTAACTGCTACCACGTTAAAATGACAGTTCCCATGTCTATGCGAGTTTGAATTCATTCCGAGCTGTGCCCTACACCTTAACACTGAAGGTGGATCTTGGGTCTATTCACATGAGGAGCTCAGCACAACCCTGCGAAGCACAGATGCCCCTAGAGGTAGCAGTAGTATGAGTGCATCAGGCAAAGATACCTGCAGAGCTCTACACAAGCAACTCCAAACTGCTTAAGAACGCTCCAGTGACTAACCACTGCTTCCTCTGGATTGCCCAATGGCCTCTAAGAGGACTAGTTTCAATTTGAGTCCCTAAGTGAGGACAACTATTGATTCAGAAATTAATGGAGGAAAAAAACCCCAACTTTAGGGATAACAGAAACACTCTTGGTTTTCAAATACAACACAACACAGTCATTAAGTTCTAGAAGGCAGCAATAAAACATCAACTGCAGAAGAGAGTTAAGAAAACAAAAAGGGGTTGTTACTTCCGTCAATTTCAGGAGGAAAAAAGGCAGAAAAGCCCTCCACAGAAATCACAAAAACATTTAGGTTGTGTTCAGGCTGAACTTCCCATGTCCACTCTCACTTGTCCTGTCAGTGGGCTCTCTCTTAAGACGTACTCCTCACACTCTCCTGAGACTTCTCTAGGCTCCACAGTCCCAGCTCACTCAGCTTCTCATTGTATGAGTGATGCTGCAGTCCCTTCATCATCTTTGTGACTCTTCACTGGCCTTTCTCCAGTAAGTCCATGCCCCTCCTGCACTGAGGAGCCCAGAACTGGACACAGTACTCCAGGTGAGGCTTCTACCAGTGCTGAGTAGAGGAGAAGCATCACTTCCTTTGACCTGCTGACAGTTCTCTTTTGTCATGAGGACGCACTGTTGGCTCATGGTCACCCCTTGTCCACTGGGACCCAAAGGTCCTTCTAGGCAAAGCTACTTTCCAGACAGTTGCTCCCCAGTGTGCACTGCTGCAGGATGTGCTTTCTAGAAAAAAAACCTAGGGATCATGTATGAGGAGTAAAATAACAGTACCTTTCACAGGATGGGTGAAAACCATTGCCAGGTAGAGTTTAAGCTGACAGATAAACCAGCTGTCTTCAGCTCAGAAAAATGACAGATTTCGATCCCTGCTGTATTCACCTGACCACTTGTAAATAGAAATTTAAAGGAAAAAATAACCAAACTACTTAACTTAGTAGAATCCTTCTGGCTACCAAGCAGAGATTTTCTCATGAAAGAAAGAACTCTGTGTAGTTAAGAACACAGCTATGAGCAGAGATTTTCTCATGAAAGAAAGAATTCTGTGTAGTTAAGAACACAGCTACAGTTGCAAGATAAATGAATAACGGACTCACCTGAAACACATTTCCTGCCAAATCTGCTCTCAGACTACAGGAGAGAACCAAAACAAAGCTCCACCACCCCCCAAATTTTCAGTGTCTGAAGAAAGAGACAGCCTAGCATGAAAATTCAGAAAAGAACAGGCTGCTATAAGACGAGAATCCTGGCAGTGCCCACAGATGAGTGACAACCATTTTCGGGAGAGCAAAACATTCTTGAAGAACAGATTCAGAAGGAATTCATCCCATGGTCTCTAAGGGAATTCAGGGCTAAGACAGAGTTTAACTTATTAACGACAATTTCTAAAACAAAAGAGAAAAATATGTTGGTCTTTCTACACAACACTGAATGAGTGCCATTCATCATCCAGTCATTAAGGGAAAAGAATTTTTTCTTTTAACAATTTGGACAAGATCTTCATATGGCTCAGATCTAGTGTCCAGTAAGCATTTATTGTGCTGGGAAGGGTAGCCAAGTGGGTTTTTTTCCCAAATAACTTTTTCAAGCCCACAAAATAGGAAGATCAAAGAATCACAGTAATTTAGGGGTTGGAATGGACCTTTAAGATCATC